AAGTTATATTTGATAGGGGTACGTAAGGTTTGCATTGGCCATAACTAAACAAATATTATACAGGGGCGAGGGCCACTTTTATCTATAAGTATAACGTGGTATGAAACTATAAAAACTGCGATCGAACTTGTACAAGAATAAAGTGATATGTTACAGTTCAGAGTTGATATACAGATTTTGAAGTTTGAATAATTAAGATTACTATTTTTACAGGGGGACACAGGGCCACTGAATGCATCATTGCCCACAGAGGTGCCTCTGTGGGTCGCAATATTTCTGAAACAGCGAAGGAAGTGCAGAATCCAGCCTCCTGACTGGATGGAAGTCGGTAAGATTATATTAAAAGATCAAATTACAAAGGTATCCATTAGCAGTCATTCTGGTTTATGTAATCAGATAGGTGTAAAACAAGGGTGAGTGATGGAAGGTGAGCTCTGGTTAGCCTGAATAACGCTCAGGTTAGTCTGTTTCATCTCCCAATATCAGGGACCTTACCAATATACGATGGTGATGGCTAGGACAACACCCATTGAAAAGTGTGTTTATATTTTACTTTGGAATTTCGCATTTATTTACATGTGTAGATCTATTTAGTGTGTTTGTCAGTATTAATACTTGCCCCTGCTGAATATGCTATGACTGCATTCAGTTCCAAATAGGAATTACCAGTATATGAAAAATTCGCCGTAGTGGGCCCCGTTGTCAAAAAACTTGGAAATTGGTCATTTTACATAGTTGATTTGCAGAGGACAGCAAAGAAATGTACCAAGAATTATAATGCATGTGCACAGCCATTGTTCTGCTCGTTAAACCTTCTGTTTGGTGGCGTTCTTGTTACTGTTGCTGTCGTGTTTTGTGCAAGGTCCCTAATGTTGATGACAACACACACCCCTACCCACCTCTCACCTCTAACCCCTGTTTTAGAATTGCTTATCTAATCCTGGTTTCTATGGCATGAATCAACTAGGATTGTTGTACCTCCCAACTCAAATAGGTTTTCAGATTGGAGGAGAGTGTGTCATGTGTCGTTGGTCAAAACTCGCTAACTCCCTAGGGTGAACAAAACTCACTAACTCCTAAGGGAAACAACAATGTGAACTTTTGACTTGCACATGATCAGGTCGTGCTCCTTGAAACTACAGCAAATTCGTGAGCCAGCCAGCATCATGCAAACGATTTCTTCGCAGTTTTTTTTATATAATTTTTTGAGTTGGGAGGTATAACAAAACACTTAATGACTGGTCCCACAGGAAACAGTGAGTTTTGTTTCCACTCGATCTCAATGTTCCCCTCAGCTTCTGCTCGAGGAACATTGAGGGTGTCGGGGAAACAAAACTCACTGTTTCCCTTGGGGCCAGTCATTAAGTGCTTAGTATTACTACTCCCTCTAGATGGAATGCTACTCATTTCAGGTTAATCCCCAGCATTTGCCGGATCTCGGTAACAGTTTGCTGTGGCAAATGAAACATTTATAACATTGGGTGGGTGGAAAGTGGAAATGCAGAAGTTTATTTTAGTGCTTGTCCTACTTAAACACAACACAATGATCCAGCCAGCAATCAAACCAAGACTACAAGATCCAGAGTGTAGTTCAGTAACCAGACAGTCACCTTCCCTGTGCAAGCAGAAATGGCTAATGTTGGAATTCTGGCTTTAAAGTGAAGAGGGGGCATAATGAAGCACATTTTTCTAAATAGCAATTAGTCTGTATGCTCAAGGTTTATATAGGCTGATGGATGGTGGAGTGTGCAGCCCCAAATCAACTATCAAGGTTGATAGAACCCAACAACAAGTTGTCTAAACATTTATTGGTTAGTAATTAGCCCAGTGCAGGCTGTTCTTTTAGAAATAGCGTATTGATTAAATAGGTTTTTTGATAGCTTTGTTTAGCACTCTTCTATCATGTTACACATGATGCACTAAAGCTACACACATGCTGCAAGGGCCCTCTATTTTAAATATCAATAATTACTATTGTAGGTGGTTACATAGGTAATCAGATAGGGTGTTTGGTAATGGCTGGCTACAGGAACATGCCAACAAAGCTGTATAATGTTATTGCTCTGCAGAAAAGTTGCAGGAACTTAAAGAAAAAGAGAAAGATGCAGAGTACTTTACTAAAATGCCATCTAAACACTACATGGAAATTGCTTCTCTTCTTCTAAGCAGGTAGTTTGAATAGTGTTACCTCAATTAACATAGGAATTTAAGTGAATAGTTCAAATTCACCAATGCATTATAGGACTGACAGCCTAGAGCTGGAAAGAACTTATCTCAATCTGCAGGCTACGAACTGAGGTGGATTACAGCTGTTTTTCTCTCCCTTCCCCCCCCCAACCCCCAACAAAAAATATATTTTTCATCAGCATGGAACAACAGCCAGGAATCCAACTAGATTTGCAGGTTATGTCCTTTCAAATTTTAGCGTTGGTCAAACACATCACAAAATGGCATCAGATGATACAGTAACTGTTATTATCAGCTGTTTTTTTTTTTTTTGCGAAAATTTGAAAAATTAAGAACATTCTGAGTACTTTCCAACTTAACGATAGATACACATCTTGTGGTTTTCAGTGCTGCTGATGACATTCCACATGCAGATGAAGTGCGTACACTGATTAAAGATATCTGGGACTTGAGGATTGCTAAACTAAGAAAGTCTATTGACATCATGGTCAGCCAACAGGAGGTTTACGCTAGGGTTAGTTGGATTTGCACTGGATATATCACTTATCTTATTTTATAAAAAGTATAGCAGAGTGTAGAAGTGACACATGGCAGATCCACTTCCCTTGTGGTTTTTTTTTTTTTTTCAGCTCAGTCTTGAAGTATTTATGTCTTGTTTTATAAAATTACAACTGCAATTACAGAGTATTGAAGCAAGATGTGACCAGATCCACTATCCTCTTGTTTATCCCAGACTTAAAGTATTGAGGCCTGCCTCATGAATTATTTTGGCATCCTTTGCCAATCCCAGTTCTTCTTCTCTGTCCATCCAAGATTCTTTTTCTGGGGCTGTGCTTTGCCCAACAGACACTGATTGTTCTACAGTGTTTGTGTTATAGTCACTGAAAGGAGGACTGAGGAGGACTGAATATGTGGACTGAAGTTAATTCCACAGCAACAGCCTATTTCTTGACAATAAGCAGTTCCAGAAAATACCCATACTCTCCCCACAGAATGGATTGGAATTTCCCGGGGGTGGGGGAGGGGAGGGGGTGGCTCTGTAAGACCAAAACATTTGAAGAAATGTACATGTAAGAAGTTTAATTGGAATTTCCAGAGGGGTATGGAGTCTTCTGTGGGGGAGGTATGGAAATGTTTTCAAACTACACAATTTAACATACCTTTCCAGTCAAAACAATTGAGATTGTTCCTTATTTTCACAGCTGGATGACTTGTCTTTGATGGAAATTAACATGATACGCCCATTCCTCACACAAGCACTTGATCACATGCACAACTTGAGGTGTCACGTTGTAGAGAATCCAAGTAATACGTGAATAACAAGTCGTGAATTGTGAAAGCTTGCAGCTGCTGGCACCTTAATGGAGTACAACTGTTCACGTCACTAATAAATTTCAGTGACACTAGAACTTAAAAGCAAGAGACACTGTAACTACTTCTAGTATCTTGTAAAGTAGTTTAAGGGTATTATTTTCTAAGTAAATTTTTGCTACATTAACAAGCAAGCAGAACAGTCTCTTAGTTTATCATTAACTTGGATTTGATAAGATAAATTCAATGCATCTGTGTTAGAGTAGAGCCTAAAACCTCCGTAGATTTG